AAAAAGAAGTGAATGGGGGGAAGGGGGGACCGAGCAGATTTGACCCTTACGTGGTGTTGTGAGGTTGGACGATAAAGGTTTGGAGGATAGGTTGGTTGTTGTTTTTCTTGGTTACCATTTGTGCTACTATACTAACAAACTATCAGTTCTTAAGTAGATGTTCTAACCCCAGGTTCCCTCGTTCTTTGAACCCGAGTATGTTTGGGAGTGAGAAAGATGAGCTTGATAAATGCTACTAAATTGCGCATTCCTTTCCCAGCCAGGCATTCCTGTTCAGTTATGTTGTCTTCTGTTGAAGGCAATGCCGTGTCTTCGTGTGTATAAATATACGTCTATTGAGACGTAGGGAGTCACTGACGGTAGTCTAGCGGATTCTATTATTCTGTGAGCCGCGTGTACGCGTGCGGTTTCAGGGACGACGGATGTAACACAATATTTTATGACATGGATGCCTACGCTGGATGCGATCTTGTACTGTGCGCGATAAAGTCAAGATGCAGGTGTGTTTTCCCGGGGAGGGGGACGATGACGGCGAGGAGCTACCAGGCGTGGTATCGCCGTCAGCGAACAACACGGACGCAGTACGGTTGCGATACCTTGGACACTGGTAAGGGACGCAGGGCTTCTTATCTGTGTCAGAATAGAGTAGATAGCTCTACTTGGATATTTAGCTCGTGGTATTTTGTGAGCCTGGATAGATCGATAAGGATCGTAATTGTATTTGCGATATATCACAACGACTTCCTAGCTGGAAGCCATAACGGGACTATACAGTACGGCTAGCACGGATGTCCGTCATGTTCCTCTCTTAGGTAGTCCCTCAGCTACGCTTGACAGTGTTAGGATTGGAAAGAGGAACATTGAATAAAGGGGTCGACTTCTTCGCAACAAGCGAGAAGGCGCCCCATCGAAAGATCAAGGTAAAAATCTAATAATCTGGCCATAGCTCTTCCCTGTATCAGAATACAACGCCATGAGATGCACAGAGCGAGACATCTCCCGCTCTCGGACGCGGTTATGCACTTTCACGGCAGTGGGCTTGTTCATGCAGCGATCCGGAGAACGAGAGACAAGTGAACAGTCGCTGCCGACGGGTTGATGTCGAGTCCGAACGCGAAAGCACGACGACGGCCTCATGAAATGTATCTAGTTTGTGCACTCGGTGAACGCATCCGTTCAGGCCACTACCCCCCAGCTGTCTTGCGTGGCTGCTAAATTGCACATGGGACACTACCCAAAATCAAGGCAGGAGGCCACTAGATCAAAAGAACTTTGCACTACTGGAGCACACAAAACACAGATGTTCGTACAGCACGTTTTCTTTTATTCAAAGGGACCTTTTTTCCTAGAATCTCGGAGATTTCATCTTAACGATCGCAGCACACTGACATTTTCAATCCACCATGTCCATAACCCGATTCCGGGTGGGCGTGCCAAAGCTAAATCTAGCAGCATTCGAACTTGGGAGCGCCACGAGGGAAGGTCTCCGTGCAGCGGACGACGCTGCAGTACCTGTACCGGCGACACTGCCTCCTGGCACGGAACCGGGTCGTGCAGACGCAAGGGCAGGGACGCTTCCCGGGCTTCGGGGTAGAAGAAGCGCTGGCAGAGATGGTAGGAGAGGCGCTGGCAGAGATGGTTGGAGAGGCGCTGGCAGACATGGTTGGAGAGGCACTGGCAGACATGCTCGGTGATGCCGAAGGGGATAGTTCGAGGTCGCAGCACTGAATACCAGGGCGGCCGAAGACATCGCAGTCACTTATCTCACAGAAGCGAAAACGAAAGCGGCGACAGACGCGGCGCACAGCCCTCCTCCCACGCCCGGCGCGGCACTGGCACGGGCAGGGAATCGCTTGCTTGGAGACCGCCTCCATGTCGCCCGATGCCAGAACGGAGACGAGGGTGACGCTCAACAGAGCAAAGAACAGAGGCAGCTTCATCATTTCGGTTTGTGGGAGTGGGTGGTAGGTTGTAAGGATGATTGAGAAAGTTGTTTGTGCTGGATGACTTTGGTTGGGGTGAAGAGGACACACAGGTGTGTTTAAGTACTAATGAGTTTCGCTTATTCGTGTTTGTGGCAAAGTTATTCGGCCCGAAGAAACGGTTCCCTTCAGTCTGCTCGCAAGTCATCCATTTCAGGAATGTGGCGAAGTAGACAAGTTACGCACCACATCGCACTCACGAAAAGCAAACTCTGTCTCACAACCACACGTTCATTGTCTCCAGAGTTCTCCTTCTTCACAACCGTGGGGGCATGCTCTCCATAGAATTATCTTTCGGAGGAAAGTCACTTATCGAACGGCCCAAGATGATGACATCTATGTTCGCAGTGCTGAGTCTGCAGTGGGAACGTAGATGTCATCATCTACACTTCACTGCAGACACAGGAAATTTATGGCTGTCAGTGGCAAACACTGGGGAAGGCAACGACGGTTGTCACTGCCTCAGGTTCCCAAAAAGAAAAGCATGCCAATCCTTGTGTGCGCATTGTCCTACTTTAGTCATTGTTGGGGGACCGGGGATCCAGTCTATTTGCACTACACGATGCAGCTGGTGCTCGTGCACTGTGCCCCAAGACGAGATCCGAACAGGATGATAGCAGTGTTTCACGCTACTTTTCCACTGCGAGCATACACTGGAACAGATAAAGAACGCCATTGATCTGTTGAAAGCGGGCGTATTCACCCCCATTCGCCACGTGAATGCCGCACATGATCGCCCGCGAAGGCTCTCTATTAGTGTGCTTGGTTCGACAATGGCCGCTTCCTGCGATGTGGTCGTATTGCAAAAGCTGTTCAGGGCACTGATTGAGAACAAATGTAGTCAAAGCACTTAGCCAATCAGATTTATAAGTATACCCAGTCGCGAAACAACGTATCTCACGTCAGCGATGACATCTCTGCCCCGTTGCTAAATGCCCTACACCTTTCTGTCATTCGCTGTCACGTCCGACTGCCCGAGCCCTCCGTTGGCGTCATGTATCTTTTGCCCTAAATAAAAGCTGACCGTTCATGGTTAAACCCTTACTATTGTAAAGCCATCAGAATGACTATTCTTGTTCCTACAGCATTGCTTTGAAAAATTTAGCCTCACGGCTGGTATTATAACACAAGCAGATTGTGAATGCAGTGCGGGGAGCACCCTCGATAGTGCATACTAAAGTGCTGCACAGTTGTGCATTCGAGGGATGTCACAAAAGAGACACATACACGAGCAAAACACTCATGCTTCACCCTAATCGGGTTGAACGTACAAGAAAGTGGGCGCTGTAGTATTTCGCAACTCAAGTAGTGCAGATTTTAATTGATTGGCATGGGGATGCAATATTCAGAGAAACGCGCCGTAAAGTTACTTTGCGGCGAGCATCTCAATATCCTCACATCCGAGGCAAGCGCAGGCCGCAACGCTTTGATGATGACTGTCATCTATTGTGCAATACATAGTGATTTAATACCTTGTACCCGCTGCCGAACAATACTGTAACCTGGATAATAAGTCACTTTGAATTGCATCTGTACTTTTTTCGATAAATTGTGTGGAATAGTCGTTCATTCTCTTGAATGAATCAGGGCCATCTCGAGCTTGGTTTTTGTACCGATCATGCACGTCATGCCATCTTCATCTGATTGCACAATTAAACACGTTTACCGCACTTCTTCTTGCCTGACACATTCGAGACAGCTCTGGCAGGCGACCCCTCAAACCGAGCAGATCTGATCACCACGGTACAAGCATCGCATTGCCCCCTGCCAGCAAATGAAAAAGTGTCTTCAATATCCGGATGTTGACAACAGTGCCACCAGAAAGCATATTGTAGAAACCTGCGGCACTGTATAATCCGTCCGGACGGCTTTCGGTATACTGTACCAACAAACGGCGCGCAAGTCTTGAGCATTAGAAAAACACATTCTGCTTCGGCCCAACACAAACTGTGGGGAATCTACAGCCAACATGTTGATGGATATCAGAGGATGTGCAGAGAGTGCATGAGTAAGCTGAGTAATCGACGAAGAGCGAAGTTATGCTTTCGCATAATTTGTTCGAGAAATGGTCTCGAGGCATCGGGAAAAGACAGCGATGGAGGGAGGAGGCATGGATTAAAAAGGTGCTCTAGGTCACATCTTCCGCGCAAGTCATACAGGATGCCCATTCACGAATGGCTCCGTTTAGTGTGTGGACAGCAGACGATATCTGGTACCCAAACTGTAGATGTGCCTGTTCTACACATTAACCAGATGCGAGTCAGACAGCAGGACACGTAAGAAAAGGTCATCCGTAAATAGTTGTCGTCAAAACCTGCAAGAAAGCCTCCCCGATTGTTCTTGACACTGACTATGTGGACGTTGCCTCACGCTTTGGGGCAGTTACGGTGCGAAATACAGATGTCAAATAATTGCTATGGATCACGACAAGACGTCCAACGTCACACGTGAAACCAGAAACGAGCGAGAAAACTGGTGAGGACCAAATATACTACAGTACTGTTACCCATAAAGGATTAATTTCTACGGCACACGTGGCACATTCACCGACCGGTGCCGAGAACCTACAACGGTACATTCGACCATACGCATTAGTGCCGCCCCTTGTAAAGACTAATAATACGGCACTAATTCAGAGCGGCACAATCAGATGGCAGAACCAGTACCCCGCCAGAACTCTGTTATTAGAGTCTGCTGTTGTTGCCTTTGCATGTTTGTTTGACCCTGTCTCTCATGCCTAGGCTAGCTTCTAGAAAAGCTCGTTTTGCGGACCTCAAGTGCGATAAGGTATTGCTCACATCGCACTCCACACCCAGACTCTCCAAAGACCCAAACAACCTTGCTAGCACTACAGCACTCGGTACGGCCCGCCTCTCCGTAATTTCACACTCGTCTTCTGCCACACAATCATCCATCACAGCATCACTGGCAGACTGACTCTGTAGCTCTCCACCATAATGTATTGAATCGCAAGCATCACTAATAGAAGCTTCTGCCACAAGCTCATTAGTCTCGATCTCAATCCATTCCTCCACATCTTTCCTGCAGAATTCTGCAGTTTCTGCAAGGCCGTCTTCTGGCACCAGGCTCAATCAAGTGAGCTTTAAGAGTGGGGTAATGCGCAGGGTGCAAAGTTTTTGTTCCGAGCGTTGTAGCGGTGTTGGTCACAATTTGTTGAAGTGAAGGAAGAGAGCGTTTGATGTTTCGGATGGTTCGCTCTGAAATTTTGAACTGACGCATAACTGTGGTATTCGCATTCCTGACCTGCAGCAGATGCCCGACCTCGATTTTCTGTGCAATCGTAGGGCGCGTACGCTTCGCTTTGGAGATCTTTTCAGAAATCATGTCAGGGTCTTTGAGTGAGGTGCCATCACTGTGATGATACCCATACACGTGGACACACAGCACACAAAATACACGTACCACGATCTACCGACGACGGAGTGAGACCGCTAGACATAATAGAGAGATTACGCAAGCAAAATTCTGCTTGGAAATTGTGAGGAATTCATGACACGAGTTACACGTGGGGCAGTGAGCAGAATTCTGGCTGAGAGACGTGAGAAATAAAGCAAAAAAATGACCTATTAGTCACCACTTCAATTGCGCCAAATGAAACATTTCAGGACAGATGTCCAGGAGATGAAACCATACGGCGGACGTTTTCCCGCGATCTTCAGACATGGAACGGCGCTCTCATCCCACTCTCCCTCTCTCTCACTCTCCCTCTCTCCCTCTCTACCTTCCCTCCATCCACTATAACTATTCCCTTTCAATGATCCTGCCCACACCCACTGAAACCAATATGGCCAACGTTTTGACTCTCTCTGACGAAGAACTCGCCGCCGCCGCTTGCAGAGGAAAGCGCCATTCCCGCTTTACAAGCGAAGAAGATCTTGTAATCGTCCGAGAAGTTGCAGCATCACGTGCACATCTCGCCGCGTTCGGGGAGTCCCGCAAGAGATTCGAGATCGCTTCTGACACAATAAACGGCAATGAGGCAGTAAAGCAGCAAGTTACTTGGAAAAGCGTCCGGGACTGCTATCAACGTCTACAGAATTCCTTCGATCGCGACGATAACAAGAACCAAAAATGTCGGGGATAGGGGGAGAAGTTGGAGAGCTAGAACAACTACTGATGAGCATGCAAGATGCTCGGGATGATATTTTAGAGCAACGAAACGCTGTAAAAACGCTCGAAAGGAGCGTAATGCAGAAAAAGAACGGATTGGAAATGATCTCATGAATTCGGCCATGCAGCGTGCTGGAAACATGGACAGTACTGAAGATGAAGACTCTATTTCTCCGCGGCGCCTTAAGAAGTCCAAAATCTCCAAATCGGGTATTGCAATGGGCGAGATGGCACAGTTCGGAGCCCATATACGCGATCCCGATCTCGCTCGAGGGGAATTGGAGCGCAATCGGCTGGCATTTGAGCGAGAGAGGATGGCCTGCGATCGTGAGGAGCGCACTCGGGATCGTGAAGAACGTCGCATTGAGCGTTCGGAAGCGCAACAGCTCGAGCTGGAAAAGCTCAAGCTCATGATGGCGGCTTTTACGAGCAAGTAATGATAGTCATGTTTTATTGCTTTGAAGTCGGTGTTACTAAATAATCGTTGCGTCTTTGTTGTGTTAACACAAATTTTTCTGCTCGCGCAGGGCGCGCGCAAGCAGGAGTCTGTCGTTTCATAGGATAGCGGTTTATTCTTTATGGTGGATGTACTGCTCTACAGAAGGAGGAGAATAGCGAAAGAATTGGGAAATCTGCATTGGACTTGCACAGTTTCTAATGTTGCAAAGTAGCAATACACACAGGTAGAGCAGGCCCACTGGTGACTGTCCAGTCCTTAATTTTCTTTTGAAGTCCATGGCTGTAAAGTAAAGTTTCACTTCTTTGAACACCCACTAGACAGTAATCCGAACGCTTGACATGGCCTTATTGAAGGCTCTTTGAGATGCTGAGAGATTGCTTCCTTGATAAGGAACCTCCAAAAACCACCTCTTGGCGTACCTGCTAGCTCTGTAGATACAGAAAGTTTGATGTTCTGAGCTCATACAATCCGGTAGCTCTTGCTCTAAATTGCTTCTTGTTTACAAAGTCCAATCCTATCGACGGCCCTCCACAGGACCGCAGACATGCAGAATCAATCCATCTGGAGCTGTGACCGCTCGAAACTTGATTGCGTGCTTCCTTGTGTGTCCATTGAACATCACTAGTTGCTTGCTAAACCCCCCCAGTCTGGCAACACCAATCACTGTACCGTCAATAAAACCGACGCAATTCCTTAGTGCATTGGACTTTTCTAATATGCATTTGGAATAAAAAGTACGTCGGCGTTCCATAAATGATTGCGGAAATGGCCCCGTGAGTAAATGCATCCGCTCCTGTGCAAAGCATTCTATTGTTTCCCAAGATATTTCACAAAGCTGGGAAGAATGCTTTCCAAACTCTACTCCCAGCTCTTTCCATCGAAGCGGCGCTGCAATGCGCCGCAGCATAATGCATGTCGACAAAATTGGATTTGTCCTATAGCGATTGCGGGTGGTTTTCGTTTTGTGCGTTGGCCATCCAATAAAAGGAACAAGATTCAGGATATCAGACCTTCCAAATCTGAACAGGAAGAGACATGACGCCTGACTATAGGAGTTGAAGTTGAACATAAAGTCTGCAGAGCTGATGCGGTTACTCCTAGAAAGGTGTTTGGACAATTCTTCTCTTGCATCTTGGTATTGAGTGCAGTATATGATATCGTTAGAAGATTGGTGAAAGCTGATGTATGTCCTGACATGCGCTTTACGCTCATGGATACCAAGGCAACTTGCCATGTTTTCATAGTCTCCTTAGTCTTTGCTTTGGTAAAATCCCTTTGCCTACCAGATCCCATAGTGTGAGTGTCCAAAGGAGAACGAGATTCTCTAGGCTATGGGAACTCGTACTCACAATGAACGACGCCGAGGGGATTGCGTAATTTACGTTTTTCTAATTTTCTGCAATAGAATTCTGTCCGCAAATCACGCATACAGTAGACTGGGCTATCCTTGCTGTCGGAAGTTTAGACAGAATTCCGTTTTTGCGTAATTCCACGATTCGTAGAGGAAGACAGATCACGAGTAAAGACGAGGCCATCGTTCCTGCACCACAATCACCAATTGCTGAGGCGCAGGAGGAGTGGGCGATGACGACGTCGTGCATGACACGTGGCAGAACCTGTGTCTGCCGGTTTTGGCGGCACTAATTCGAGGGTGGCAATAAAAGCGGCACTATTGCGCGTCCCCCCCCCCCTGTATTTCAAGTTTTATTGTTGACTGCGTCGATAGCCAAGCCGACTGGGTTGAGGGCAGGGCCTCGGTCGCTGGGAGTCGGTCGCTGCCCTTTTGCAGTGTGACAGAACCAAGAGTTATCCATACTGAACCACAAGGTATTACTAGCTCTTCCCTGTATCAGAATACAACGCCATGAGATGCACAGAGCGAGACATGTCCCGCTCTCGGACGCGGTCATGAACTTTCACGGCAGTGGGCTTGTTCATGCAGCGATCCGGAGAACGAGAGACAGGTGAACAGTCGCTGCCAACGAGTTGATGTCGAGTCCGAAAGCGAAAGCACGACGACGGCCTCATGCAATTTATCTGGTTTGTGCACTCGGTGAACGCATCCGTTCGGGCCACTGCCCCCCAGCTGTCTTGCCTGGCTGTCAAATTGCACATGGGACACTACCCAAAATCAAGGCAGGAGGTCACTAGATCAAAAGAACTTTGCACTACTGGAGCACACAAAACACAGATGTTCGTACAGCACGTTTTCTTTTATTCAAAGGGACCTTTTTTCCTAGAATCTCGGAGATTTCATCTTAACGATCGCAGCACACTGACATTTTCAATCCACCATGTCCATAACCCGATTCCGGGTGGGCGTGCCAAAGCTAAATCTAGCAGCATTCGAACTTGGGAGCGCCACGAGGGAAGGTCTCCGTGCAGCGGACGACGCTGCAGTACCTGTACCGGCGACACTGCCTCCTGGCACGGAACCGGGTCGTGCAGACGCAAGGGCAGGGACGCTTCCCGGGCTTCGGGGTAGAAGAAGCGCTGGCAGAGATGGTAGGAGAGGCGCTGGCAGAGATGGTTGGAGAGGCGCTGGCAGACATGGTTGGAGAGGCACTGGCAGACATGCTCGGTGATGCCGAAGGGGATAGTTCGAGGTCGCAGCACTGAATACCAGGGCGGCCGAAGACATCGCAGTCACTTATCTCACAGAAGCGAAAACGAAAGCGGCGACAGACGCGGCGCACAGCCCTCCTCCCACGCCCGGCGCGGCACTGGCACGGGCAGGGAATCGCTTGCTTGGAGACCGCCTCCATGTCGCCCGATGCCAGAACGGAGACGAGGGTGACGCTCAACAGAGCAAAGAACAGAGGCAGCTTCATCATTTCGGTTTGTGGGAGTGGGTGGTAGGTTGTAAGGATGATTGAGAAAGTTGTTTGTGCTGGATGACTTTGGTTGGGGTGAAGAGGACACACAGGTGTGTTTAAGTACTAATGAGTTTCGCTTATTCGTGTTTGTGGCAAAGCTGTTCGGCCCGAAGAAACGGTTCCCTTCAGTCTGCTCGCAAGTCATCCATTTCAGGAATGTGGCGAAGTAGACAAGTTACGCACCACATCGCACTCACGAAAAGCAAACTCTGTCTCACAACCACACGTTCATTGTCTCCAGAGTTCTCCTTCTTCACAACCGTGGGGGCATGCTCTCCATAGAATTATCTTTCGGAGGAAAGTCACTTATCGAACGGCCCAAGATGATGACATCTATGTTCGCAGTGCTGAGTCTGCAGTGGGAACGTAGATGTCATCATCTACACTTCACTGCAGACACAGGAAATTTATGACTGTCAGAGGCAGACACTGGGGAAGGCAACGACGGTTGTCACTGCCTCAGGTTCCCAATAAGGCAAGCATACCAATCCTTGTGTGCGCATTATCCTACTTTAGTCATTGTTGGGGGACTGGGGGATCCAGTCTATTTGCCCTACACGATGCAGCTGGTGCTCGTGCACTGTGCCCCAAGACGAGATCCGAACAGGATGATAGCAGTGTTTCACGCTACTTTTCCACTGCGAGCATACACTGGAACAGATAAAGAACGCCATTGATCTGTTGAAAGCGGACGTATTCACCCCCATTCGCCACGTGAAAGTTGCACATGATCGCCCGCGAAGGCTCTCTATTAGTGTGCTTGGTTTCGACACTGGCCTCTTCCTGCATTGTGGTCGTATTGCAAAAACTGTTCAGGGCACTGATTGAGAACAAATGTAGTCAATGCACTTAGCCAATCAGATTTATAAGTATACCCA